AAGAGAAGCTGCAAGGATGGGAGAATCATACTGTGGAATATTAATTTTAGCAACGAAATATTTAAAATTGTATCCTGAAGCTATACAAACTTCTAGTATATATTAATAAAAATGTGGGAATTTAATAAATCAAAATGAGCTAGTTGGTAATAATCATATTTAGGAGTTATAATTTTTGTAATACGATAATTAACATTTTTATTTGAGTTTGAGATGTTCATTATTTAATATTCCTTATATTTGAAATTACAGAAACTTTGAAATGTTTTTAATTTGTTAATTTTAAATATTAATTTAATAAAGTGTATGAAGTTTGGATTTGAAGCAATATTTTTATTCTGAACACCTTAATATGAAGTTAAATGCAGTAAGTAAGCATGTAAGTAAATTAAGCAAATTCGTAATAAAATAATAATAAATTAGGAAAATAATGATTTAAAAATTTGCCGCGCAATGGCAACACTGCTTTGGCGGTGAAGTGGCAGCTCCGTCGTTCATTTGAAATCGCAGCAAGCGGTGATTTGTGTGCTTGGTTTTCGTTCTTTTGCGGAATTTAACGCAGTGCCAAAAATCAGTTTCCGTGTTTTCTGCGCAATAATCTGCTACTAAAAGTTGGCCAACGCAGGCGCAGAGCGGGCGGAAAGAAGAAGAGGAGCGCAAAGGAGGAAGAACTAAACCGCAGTGGATTTCATTCAATAGGAAAAACGGCCAAGGTGGTGGGAAAATCATAGCAATATCAGCCCCCAGATTGCGAGAGAGCGTGTGTTTCCGTTAACTCACCACCGAAAAGAAAAAAAAAACGGGAGAGCGACTACGGCAGGGAGAGGGTGTAGGACAGGGAAAGGAGAAAGCAGGGAGAGAGTCGCTCTCGATGTGCGTTAATGGTGAGAATTGCAGGCGGCCCGGTTCGCCAGAAGCTTCTTCTTCCTGCTTCAGTCACTTTTCGCATTTCGAGCAGTGCTGCTCTCTTCTCTCCGTCGCAGACAACGGTACATTTCCCCCAAAAAATAAGGCTGTTAAAAAAAATAATAGTAAAAAAGGGAACAAACGCGACGCGAAATGCCTGGTTACGTGTGTGAGTGAGTGTGATGCCAAATAGCAAGCAAGTTAATAAAGCCCGAAATTAGGAAAGTACCCATCTTCCGGAAACCCAGTTCAGTTCAAATCGCCGCAGCATCCGCACACGTTTCTAACCTCACTTTCGTTTTGGAGCCGGTACGTACACGCCCTAAAAAAGAAACAGGGGTCTTCCCCCAGACCCCTAAAAATCCCCCCACCCTATCTGTTTCCTTTTGACTTCCTTTATTTTTAGCATATTTTTTTGGCCTAGTTTGAGCACATTTTGTGGCCTGTTTTTTTTTTTTTTTGGCTTGCCATTTATTTTTAGGCCCCTTCTAGCAGCAGCCCCTGTTTTTGGTTCCCCCTTCGCTCCCTACAAAAAAATGTATGTCGCTGGGTTTATTATCTCATCCGGAGAATGTGTCGCTGCTTTTTGGCGTCGACGGTTGTAAAAAATTTAGCAGAAAATCTGACATTTCCGTTTGGCGTTTCCGCCAAAGAGAAGACAAGCTTTAAGCAAACGAGAGAAAAAGAGAAAGCCTGCAAAGAGCAACGAAAATCAGTGTTGCTGTGTCTTGAAGGGCGAAAAGAGGAAATCAGCCTGAAATTATGCTTAATAATTTTATGAATTTCCACAAAAAAAGACTCAATTAAATCCTTTATCTATAGACATAATGTTAAACTGATAAACCCCGCCGATAAGAACTTATCTTATCTGAAAATTAATGGAGCCGTTGAGTCAGCTGGTTGGGCATTATATAAGCAGTTAGCCACCCCCGGAAAAGCCGGCAGACGCCCAGGAAAATAGTAGCAGAAAATTTTAGCCAAAGAGCGAGTCTCTCTTCTCTCCAGGACACCTCTACTCTTGGGACTTCTCCAAGTATCTCTCTCGAAATGAGAGCAGGCGCGTGAAATAATCTTGCGGAGCTTGGGAGGAAAGAATGAAACAGGCATTTTCCAATTGATTTTCAAGGCGGTCGACGCGAGTTCTTCCCCAGAAAGTTTCCCCTAAAATATCCAACAAAAATTTCACAAAAATTCATATAATATTTCCATGTTTCGCTAAGCGGTGAAGATGTTTCCGAAAAAGCGTGAAAAGTGCAGGAAAAGTTCCTCAAACAGCCGCTGAGGACTGAGCTGATATTGCATAAAAAAAAACGATGTGTGAGTAGTGGCAGCGCGCCCGGAAAAATTTTAGGAAAATTCAGCAGGGGTGGTCGGAGGTGCTCAGCCCGAAAGTATGCTCCAAGATGAATGGAGCTGCTGAGAGCCTGGCCATTAATTGGTCTCATAAATAATTTCGATTTAATCGCAACTTTTTCGTCTAGTGTGTGTGTGTGTGAGTGTGTGTGTGAGTGAGTGAGCGAGTGTATTGTTGCACTCGACAGCGAGGCGATAACATTTCAAGTGCATTATGTCATTTTCCCCGTTTTGTTGTCTACCTCACACCCCATCCACACCCTCAATTTTTTCCGCAACCACCCCCAGCCCCGCCCCCTGCGACCATGTGTGTGAGTGTTTGCCATTTCACAGCCGAGAAAATAGAAAAATTAAAGGACGAGGACGTGGACGAGTACGAGCAGCTCCTGTCAACAGGGCGCCATCTAATGCCGTAACTTTGTGTAATTAAAAAAAATAAATATGAACAAAGCGAGGGGCGAGGGTGGCTGTGGGGATGCATGTATTAAGCCTCCAAAGTGTGACACTTGAGTGACTATGCTGAAAGTCCTGCTCAACTGATAATGCTGCATATAGAATTATTTACGTCCTTTCCTGGATTTATCAGTAAATAATTCCTAAATTTTCTACAAATGACACTTCTTGAATTAAAAATATAAGTGTGATTTAATTTAAATTCTTTACATCTTTTATCTGTAAAGGACATTATTTGCGATTCATAATTAATGGATTGTATACAATATTACTTGTATAGACCACACTAACAAGTAAAACTAACTTAAATGTTATTTAAATAACTTTTAGCATATTGAAAAACTTACATCAACAGGGTTTTGTGAATACTCCATGACCATTTTTCTATAAGTAAAGTTACAGAAATCCCACATTCCATGCCATTGAGAAAATAAACTTTTGTTTAATGCCCTATTTCCGGTCAGATGAGAATTTATTTGCTCAGCCCAAAAGTAGGCAAATGGGTCGTTTCTCGCCCAGCCTCTTCGACTCCCAGCCATTTCCCTCCTCTTCACTAAGCTAATTCTGTGGTTTGGTCAGAAACTTTTGCGTCAGCTTTGTAGTAGTTGTAGTTTTTGCACTTCGAGAAAAAGGAGGGAGGTGAACTGGGTTGATTTACCAACGCTTGGCTGGCTCTTCGATTTGGCCAACAGTTTATGCCAACGGAAAGCATATTTTGGGAGGGAGCTTGAACATAACTCGCACAATGTGAGAATTGGTGTTTGCAAAATCAATTAAAAACTCGAATATTGACCAGCGCCATTAGAGGGATTTGGGGGGCACGTGGCAGACAATCTACGAAACACACCCACACATCTACCAACAAAATATGGGAATTGACAAGTGCCCTTTATTGAAATACGAAAAAAATTATTAAAGACCCATAAATTTTACATTTAAAAAATGTTGTAAATAAGTTGTTACAAAGTATAATTTTAGATTCGATTCAATAATATTGCTCGTAATCTATTTTTAATTTAACTTGATTTAGTTTGTTATTTCCATCCAGAAAGTACTACTTTTTGACCTTAATAAGGTATCGATGACGTGCATTGTTGCTATTTTTCTCACTAAGTGATTCATGCCTTTCCTATTTTTTAGCTTGTTTATTTTCACGGGCGCTCTTAAATTTCCATTTCCAAGTATTTACTGTTGATTATGTATTAAAGTGGCCATAGTGACTATAGTACTGCTGTCGATTGAAAATAGCTTAAGAAAGTAAATATTGAGTTCTATGCTATGTTAATCAAATTAAAATTTAGTTTGACTTGTAAATAATATATACCTAATAGCTATGCCTATTACGTATTAATAAACGTAATAGGCTATTAATCACTTTGAGCCTAAACTTTTTTATTATGTCAACGATTATCCAAAACCTTATTAACTTTAATTTTTTATAGATTTCTGATTCTTATACAAATTTGCTGAATTAACATTAAATTTATGTAAAAAGATGATTATTACAAATTAATAGTATTTAAATCGGTCTTGGGATATTTGCATTAAAAATGTATAGCCCGTGATGTCAAGTTAAGAATTTCTAAGTCAAATTATTCAAGAGCCTCTCATTATAATTACCAATTTAGTTTATAATTTTAAAAAAGACCAAGAGTTTTCTGTTTTTTCCAGTGTTGTCAATTAGTTCTTTCAGTTAACTGTGGTGAATTAATCACCTCTCCGCCCGCTCGCTTAACCTTTTTCTAACCGCAAGTGTGACTTGCATTTCAATTAGACACGAAAGTTTTTTTTGTCAATTTGTGTTACTTTTTTTTTGTTAACTGTAACCTGGTGGCAAGTGCAAGATTATGCATGCACACGCACACGAAGGCAGCGGGAGATACCTGATACCGCTGAAGCTTATGTGTGTACTTTGACCTCTTTTGGCTCTGCCGACGTCGCTGCCGCCGTCGACGTGAGTGGTCAATGTCAGTGCCTGACCACATATCCAATTTCTTCCATTTCTCTGCCGCTCCTCCCCATTCCGTTTTCCGTTTTCCACGACTTGTTTTCCACTCACACCGTTCTTTTGCGGCTTTTTCAATTAAAGCTTGTTGCATGCTGCCTCTGCCGCTGTGTCAGTTGACGTCGTTGCCGGCGCTCTTTCTCTCTCTCTCTCTTCGGGATCTCAAATATGAAATCTCGCGGCCGAAATCTACGTGTCCGCCGCTCTCTCTTCGCGCTGCTTTCTTTTGTGCGCCTTTCTTGGCAGCGCAGCTTAAATCTTTCACTTCTTCGAGGGCCAAGTTTAGTTCAGTTCGAAACGGCCGACGAAGCGGACGCGTCGCTAAAAGATCACGCATATATACATATATACATATATGTGGTAGATGGTAAAGAAAAGCAGTTAAAAAAGTTAAGAAAGCGAGCAAAGAACGATCAACTCTCTCCCGCGGCGGCTCTCTATCTCTCACGCGCTCTGCCTCTCTCCGTCGTTGGATTTCTTTGCGCCTGCGCAACGGTCAATCTTGGTCTTTACTCTCCCCGCTCTCTCTCGCGCTCTGCCGCAAAAGTGAAAATATTTGGAGAAATTTCTTGGGAAGAAGCAGAATTTCGGTCTGGAGTTTTTTAGTGTGTCAGAAGTGGGCATTGGTATCGGTATCATCGTATCTGGCCTTGCCTGAAGTGTCAACAACGAAATAAAGTATCGTCTACGAATATAGTTTTCCGTTCTGTCGTACTCAGTTTTTTTCCAAGCGAACGACCTCTAAAACCCCCGCAAGTGCTTAAGTTCCGATATAACTCGAGACCATAACAAACGAATTCGCAAGCCCCAATGTCAATGACCTAAATTCGGGGTTTCTCGGAAAAACCAAGTGGGAAAAATCAAATCAAGTCAATGCAAACACGAGTTGCCGCAGCATCTTCAGCGTCTTCTATAAAAGCCAATAGCGTCGGCTATAAGTTTGTCTGACAAGTAAGTGCAAGCCAGGCCTGGCCCACTAATATTTGAGCTGTTTCTTTTTTCGTCGGATTATGCAATTTCATTTTTAGCTAATATTTGACCCACAGCCTTTGAGTACATTTACAGTAGGGTTTCGATAACATCAGGTCGAGATTGAGTCATTGAAAATAATTTTGAAAATATGTCTGACTATGCTTTGACCTTATTTGACCTCATTTTATTTTGGCGCCCAACAACTATTTTTAAGGTAGCTTTTGAATCTCACAAAACCTTTGTGTCAACTAATTAATGACATTCTTTTCAAAATGGGAACAATTTTTAAAAGATTATTGTTCTATAAAGATATAAAAATAGGTATCGTTCGTTTTAATTAACTATACAATTTGTTCAAGTCCGAGTCACATGGGCGTTCAATTTATAGAAGTTTGACTGTATTAACATCCAGGTTGCTGCGGCGAGAAAGTTTTAAAAGGCAACAAATATTTTCGAAATTTTTGTTGTGGTGTATTTGTAATATTAATCATTGCATATTTACAAATAAAATTTGCACACAGCCGAGACAACGACTAGCGACAACGAAAACGAAAATGAAAACGATAACGACAGCAAAAAGACGATGGAGCATAATAAATAAACATGGATCATGGCCACACACATACTTGCAGGCACAAAGATACTACATCTCGAATTGCAAAAAAAGAAAAACCAAAAACCGAAAAAAACCAAATAGCCGAAAAACCCTCCAAAAAGCTTTAGTAAAAAGAGTGAGACAGCGGTTGGTCGGTCGATTGTTTATTTAATTTTTACATTTACAAATATCATTACACCGATTTCAGCTTTTGTGGGGTAAATATCTGTCTCTCGGACGCGGACAATGTGTCATAATTGCGAACCCACATTGACTTGACCCACATTTTTGGCTGGGAGTGGAATGAAGTGAAATGAAATGAGTGGACGCATGCGCAAATGCATCGACGGCCAGCGCTGAGCTCAGCCAAAATTATTGCCACAGTCAATATGGCTGTATGGTATATAGTATCGGTTTTTCAGTATCGACAGCGGTATCTGCGAGTTCGAGAAGGCGACATATTTCTATTGATTACGTGCCTGGCTTACCTGAGCGACCCGTTGAATTTCTTTTTCACTTTCGCAAGCTCTGGGCTAGATTCATTCTACTTGGTCAGGGGGCTAATGGTCCTACTCAAAATGGGTTACTGAGCCATAAAGCAAGCCACTTGGCATTCAGATCGATTGTTTATTGGGCACACACTTTCGCAGCTCTGTGACGTAAAGCCAAAGGCGAGGTTTCATTAGTAAATAAGAAGTCCTAAATATACGCTTCCTCGATTTTGACGACTTCATTAATTGCAGACGAAGTATTTCTTTGTAAACTTGGCGACTGTAAACAAAGCCTGGGAAAAACCGACTGTAGTTTTAGCCGGAATATTTGGTTAGCCCTATACTTATTTACCTGCAATATTTGCTTATAGGTTAAGATTTTCTTATTTCGTAAACAGTAAATAAAGCCAGTCGCTGACAGATCTTAGAAACTATTCCAAGTTACTTAAAAAGTTACCTAAGCTGATTTTTATTTGCCATCAACCTGCAAGTTTTCTCTTACGATCTAGATGTAACATCCTCATTGTAACCTTACAGAGGATTACAGTAAAGAAGAAAATATGTACAGTATATCTTTTTCTTGATCACCACCACTAGACGGATCGATTTAGCTAAGTCCGTCTATAGTTTCGGTACAATGTATCCAAAAATTAAAGGAAAGATTAAAAAGAGAATAGAAAAGTCGTTTAATAGAATATTACGTTTTAGTTTTAACTGCAAGTGTGTTTAAACCTCGGCTTGCCAAAGTGTGCTTCCCTTCTTGTTTGTTTATAAAGTTTAGTCTCAACCATCTAATTGCACTTTTGATTACCTACTTAGTTACCACTTAATTCCAAATGCAATTCGAGACCTTAACTAAAAGTCGCGAAATCTTGATAAGTCCACCGTGAATGAACCCTGTTTCACAGAAAACGGGGGCTTTTCATAAATTTTCAAGATATAATTGCAAAGTCGAAATTGTTTTTGATTATTCAAATTGGCCAACTGAGACAAATTTTAATTGCAGCCGAGGATAAAAGAATGTTTTAATTGAGCCCGTAGACATTTGGTCTTAGCTCATGTGACCAGCCTAAAAATAAGATAGACTCTATATTATAATTGTGAATTATTTAATATCCAGCAAGCGCGTGTGGGTGCGAGCGGGACAGAGGCTTAACTCGACTCAGCTGAGCTTTTAAATTGGGTTGCTAATCTGCTGACTACCTCCAAATGGGGGAACGGCAGGTGTGGGGCGGGGGCACAGAAGCCGCCCCCATTATACACAGTTAAATTTAACTTTTATGCTGTAAACTGCGAGATCGCTTTTGTTTGTTAATCAAGGCACACGAATTATGGGCAGTGGGAGGGAGACAGATCCAGATCCGAGATCCATTCTATCCAACCCCCTACAGATTTATTCAATTACACACAAAGCATAGATAGCTTACGATAACCATAAGAGCAGACATAGTCGACCACTGGCCAGTGGATACTAGCAACTGACAACCAACTCGTGGACAGTCAGTTCACGAACGGACACAATACAACGGACGGCAATTCCAGAGCCTCATTCAAAGGTTCAATAGAATAGAGGGCACAGACCCATTATGAGCACTCACACATGGATCCACATGGTCCACACATCCGCCGTGGCTCGAGGTCTACGGGTTTACATAATGAGAGGCCTCCCATTGTTGAAAAGTGAAAATGCATATTTGAACTTTCGTTTGTGTTCAATTCAGTTCGATTCGATGCGGACCGAGACGAAAGAAACCGATCCGAAAACGAAACGCGCTTCCAAATTGCCAAAACAAACAGGTTGACACGGCCGCCAAGGGACCCCGAAAGACGCTTCAGAATCGCACGGCAATATCTTGTGGGCATACTGTAGTCCAGGGTCTGCATGCGGAAGCATTCGACGCGGCTGGCTGTAAGTGTATACACATATATGTCGAAGCCCTGAGTGCTAAAGACTCGTAATCCGAAAGCAACAAGCTCCAAATGAGGAAACGGCAGGGCCCGAAGAGAGAAGACAGTGTAGAAAAGCGCAAAGAAGAAACGCAGCTAAAGACGGGTCTTCAGTTATGGGAGAAAAATAAGACAGTGGTTGTGGTCGAATCAAGGCATACCCTTGAGGAAGTTCCAATGTATGGGGACTTAAACAATTTTTCAGATTTAATTAGTAGGAGGTGGTTAATCGATAAGAGGCCTTCAAGTCAAGTAGCACTTGTTTGCACACGTTAATGAGTTAAAAGGCTTAATAAGTTGCTAATCTTTAAACAGAAGGGGGCGATATTTATAACCCGTGTGCTGAAGAAGAAGAAATAGTTGTTTACAGATAAATACGATTCTATATTTAAATCAATTTCATGGTGGTTTTCTTTTCGTAATTAAATTTCCCTGGGATTTAGAAAAATATTGTCATTTACTTCGTCTTCACATGCGAGATTTTATATTGAACTTATAATATAATTTGCAAAAAATGTGTTCTATAAATACATGTTAAACTAATAAATGTATTGAACTCTTTACTCAGTGTTCACCATTCAGAACTTTTATGTTAATTTTAGAAAGACATTAAAAAACAACTAATCCATTTGTCCAAATCCTTTGGAATAGTCACCCATCCCTTAGGGTTTAGTTAAATTATGTGAAGCGGTCGCTTCCAAATGTCCGGCAAGTCGATGCTGATGACGATGACGAGCTTGCTGATGATGATAATGCGGCATGATTATAGGAAATGGGTCAGACAATACACGGGCAGCAAAGACTGGTGTGTAACTACCTTGTCAAGGCAGGTTGAATGTTGAATGTTTACCGTTTAACAGCACACACGCAGATACATTTCGGTCTTCATGTTTGGTTAACACGCTCCGTGGGGCGGCGGCGGTGGGCGGGTGGCGGGAGGCATGGCGCGGAGGGGCGTAGCTGGGCCAAAGCGATGGTCCGATTGTCGGTTCATTTGCCTCTTGTCGCTGGCGCGCAAATTTTCGATGCGATGCAGTTGGTGGGTAAGACAAGACCAAGACACCAGGAAAGAAATGAGAGAAAAATCCACGGCGCTGAAAAGAGAGGGCGAGAAAAAGTTGATTTTCAAGAAATTTCACTTTAGAATGAGGAGCGGAACCAGTCAACAAAGTTGGCCAGGCCGCAGCGTCTCGAGGCTTCATTGATAAATTTACAGTTACGTGATGAGGCCGCTCTGATTGCCGCGTTTTAAAGTTGTTTAAACTTTAATTATAGAGCTGCGACGGACGGAGGAACCAACCACTCAACTAGTTCAGCGGATATAGCCCTCTGCGATTTGATAACATCGCCAAACCAGATGATGATGATGCCCGACCAAAAGGCAAACAACCAATGTGCCAATTTCTTAACACATTTCTTGGCCGCATAGTCAAACAGCGAATAGAGCGACGATATTTTTTTTTTCGCCAAGTCAGCGAAAAAAACCCTCAAATGCAAATGACCACAAAAATAGTTCCAGACATCTGAGGCGGTAGATTTTTGTACAAACTAAAAAATTGAAAACGAAAGTTGAACATAAAACAAAATAAACAACAACAAAAACAAATTTAAATACATACGAGGGGAAAAAAATATTGCGGAATTTAGATATTTAAAAAAGAAGAAAAAACAAAACCAAAGACCTACAAAAGATTCGAAAAATAAAAAGTGAAAGTCATGGGCAGCAGTTTGAACCCCCAAAAATTCGTTTTAGAGAAGCCACGCTTTAAGCCAACATATCATCATCATGATGATCATGCGAGCTTGACGTCAGACCCCATAAGTATATCTAACTACCAATCAATTTATCCAGATAGATAGATAGATAGATAGGTAGACACACACACCAATGTTTCCTGGTTACGATCAATATTTGGTCAACAATAAATTTGAAATTCAATTAGCAAGACATTCGGCGAATTACATGGCAGATGAGATGGGGGGCTACATCTGATGCATTGTGTGGGGGGGCTCGAAGGTCAAACCCTTTCCAGATAACCAAATAATGGGGGTCTTGAGGGAAGCGAACTTCACTGCGAAACAAATACGGTTTGTTGTTTATCTGATAATTTTCCTTTTAGCCAGTCAGCCCTGTTGTTTCACTTGTTACCAACGCTTGTTGACAAATTCATTAGGGACTTTTTACAACCCTACAGAGTCAGGAACTACGTCGGTAGAACCGAACCGTTTGTTTGGACTGGCTAAGTGATCTGGCCCCTCCACGCGAAGGTTACCTACCTACCGACACCGATTTGGATTGAGCAGCATTTTCCGGACACCACCCCCCACAAGACTGACTATAATAAACACCCACCCAACCATAAAGTCTCGATAAATCTTTCGCTATGGTAATGGATCGTGTGCGGACTACTACCGTCAACCTTATGCAATCACGCAGGGCCACTTTTGACCTGCGGAGATATTATGACGTGTGAAATACTCTTAAGTGGCACTTGATCATGCGGGTCGCCATTCAGCAATAGAATCTCTCGGCTCAGCTCAGCTAAACGCAAACGCAGCTCCACTCGGCTCATGTAAAAATCGTTTAATATAGAATGAAGTGTTCCCAGACGTATAGTGAGCATTCGCCAACTGTCACTGCTATCGACAGTATCGTCTCCCCCAGTTCGGTTCGTTTTCGTTTCGACGGCTCTTTAAGTTCTCGCCTTGTAAGCCGATTTAAGCATTAAGCGGATTCCGCATACTTAGCTCTATTGTGCATTAAATTCGATTGCGGCCGGTCGAAAACGATTTCCCAAGATCTAAGTGGAGTGAAGTGGATTGTTCGCGCACATAGTACATAGTAAATCATCCTCCGACGTCATTTGCATATCCTTTTCCGTGATGGCCGATTGCCAAGCTCTTAGACGTCATAGCTTGGATTTGGGTTGCCAATCAGCTGCGGCTCAAAATGATTGCTAATTTTAGCCCGGTCCCAAGGATAAATGACGTTTTGATGGAAAGATAGATGGATATATAAATGGATAGAGGTGGATGGATATGTGGAAGGATGGGCCGGCATGGGCCGAAGGATATTGGCTAGGACTTTGATTTGGGTTTGGTGTGGTATTTTGCTTTGACATAAATTCGTTGTTCAAAGCTAATTGTGTGGCATGGAGAGGGTAAACGGAAATGATGAGGGTTAATGATTTAGGGATTGCAAGTGCAGAATAGGATAACAAAAAATCAATAAAGGTTTAAAATTACATATACTCAGAAACTTAGTTGAATACATAAGTGTGTAAGAAAGTAAAAAGTGCAAAAACTTAATAAGTAAAGTGTTAGGAAGAAGTTTAAGAAATCCATTTAAAATATGATAAGTTTCTTGTTTAACTTAATTGTTAACTTTTGTTGATTTTTAAAATTTTTTTTTGTGCATAGCCCAGGGTATTTTTCAACTGTTAATAAATAGCACCTGCCCCAAAAAAAGGCGTTTTCGAATATTATTAAGCAATAAAAACGAATACTTTTCTCAGTTCCAAATGTGACGCTTTCCCGCCGTACTTAATAATGTTTTTCTGATTTGCCTTTCAGTTCAGCAGTGCACTCAAGCCTGGAATTTGTCATAAATCGGTCTTGTTCACCCCACCCAAGCCACAGGATACACCTGAGGACGACTAACCACTCTCCTGCTGAATTCTTTTTGTACAAAACCCAAAGCAACCTCCAGGACAAGCGACTAATGGAAACATGGACAGACGTTCATCGGCGACAGAAGGAATTTCAACTAGCTTTTCGAAGGACTTAATTGCATAAATTTATAAGCACTATTCAGCAGCTTCCAAATAGGGAAAATCAGAGAAACTAACTTCCAAACCGAAAGGATTATAAGGGAAAACTGCCCTTGGCAACTCGAGCGCACACTGCAAATGACAAAGAACTGCTTCCTACTTTAAATTAAGCGCAGGATCCGTACCGCAGGATATAGAAAAAAGCACACAAAACAAAAACAAAACAAAACAAAAGAAAAAAAAAGAACACAAGCCAGGCAACAAACAATCGAACATGTCACACGCGGCAGCCAACAACAAAACGGAAACGGAAGCAGCCACAAACAGCAGCCTCAAACAGTCGCCCCCCCAGCCCGCAAATAGTCACGATGCCAAGCTGCTCAACGGCACCTTGGCCCGCACCAACGGACTAACCCATGCCGCCAGCGCGGCCGTCAACTCCTCCTCCTCCGGCTACGGCAGTTCGAGTGCGGCCGGATCCGGCGCGGGCTCCGGCGGAGCCACCTCCTCCGCATCCTCAGCGGCAGTCGGACCGGGACCACCCTCCACGGCCCTGCCCTTGCCGCCGAGCAGCAATGGCCTCCAGATGCCGTACGAGCGGTTCCGGGCGGACGACTCCAGCTACGTGCCCATCGGCCAGTTCTACGCGGGTCGCAGCGTCTTCATCACAGGCGGCACTGGCTTCATGGGAAAGGTGAGTTCGTTGATTGCTAAATTATAACAAGTCGAGGCCTCCTGTAAAAGAATCTTTAAGGATTAAGACTTAAGGATTAAGATACTTACTTTGTTTTATAATAAAACCCCTCGCCAATATACATCGGAGTTTGATGAACAAAATCGTTGTTTATTAAAGAGTTCAGAGTTCAATTTTAAAAATCCACACTAATAACAAATGGAGTTCTAAAAAAAAACAATTGGTTTTTGACTTTACCATTTTTTATTTTATATTGAAAGTAAATATAAAATCGTAATATTAAATACAGTGCATATTAAATTGGGTGACTTCATATTATAATATTTCAATTAATGTAAAAAGCATTATATATGGAAAGGTACATTTTTGTTCTAAGTGCGCTTGAAATTTACTTTTAATATGGGTTAAATTTAAATTAAAGATACTAAAATCAATTCCAAAAATAGTCAAATAAAAATTAAAAAAATAATTGGATGTTTAAACTCAAGTAATTAAAAAAAGTATTCAATTTTCAAAATTTGTATATAGAGAAGCTTTTTAAGGAAATTTTAATGACAAATAAACAGTTGAAGTTTAATTCAATTTAATTTGTAAATGACCTTCGTGCAAACACGACTACATTTTCATGATTGAATGTAATCACTTCTACGTTTTAGGATGCCCATTTAACAGATAATCTTAATACGTTAATAATGCAGAGGTAAAACCAAAAATAATAACTATATGAATTTTTTTCAAAATACTCTAACTTGCTGTTATTAATAATAAGGTTCTTCATTAACCTGACAAAAATCCTTCTAGTTAAGAAAGAACTGCTGCCCACACATGGCCAATATTATTTACTAATGAACGCTCAAGTCCGCTTTTTACTCCCAATTATTCCATTTTCGAGCCCAATCTACGCCACCAGCTTTCATTGCATACTTTTGTGGGCCATCGGCGAGCCACTTTCATTCACGTCACGCATACGCCGCGTGTTTATTGGCTTCGAATTGAACTATTGAACCTGCCGGCCTGGTTGGGCTCGATTGAAACTCCAAGTGTTTCTCGGTCATAAAATATGCACAAATATTTGTATGCGGTGTTGATAAACAAATAGTCAGGCAACAGAGTGTTGGGTGGGTGGATTCGACGCTTGTCCACCCTGAATTTTAGATGCACTCTGTGTGTAAGTTGTTTACGGTCGAGAATATGCGTAGATTTTTATTTTAAAGCCGAAATGCTTGAGTTACGCTGTGCTAACTGCACTTGACGATGTTGACTCATCGTCGCCTGCCATGCGAAAGCCTCATAATACGAGTATATTGTGACTGCGTCTATGCATTTGGCTCGCCTGCTTCTCCAACTCCGAGTTCCGCTTAATTGTTCCTCAAGTGGTGCAGGCGACTACCCGTTTCCCTGCTCCAAATATCCTCCGCTGTTGTGCCAATTTCTGTGCCAGCCATTGTTAAATATATGTACACATAGAAAACAAATGTGATATATAATGAAAAACATTTTCTACCAAAGCAGTTGATTTCTGGTAAATTCTTAGAACAAATAAAATTGTTAGAAAATATAATCAAATGAAGATAACACTTTTGAGGTGGTAAAAATTAGCAAATATTTTTTCAAAACATTTTCTTTTCACTAAAAAAGTATTAATTACTTTTTAAAAATTTTATCAAATTGAAAACAATTTAGATTTTTAGATTTTAATTTTTAGTGTGTTCTAAATTTGCTCTCTGTGCATATATATTGCATGTCGGTGGCTCCTGGCTGCGTCATTATGACATGAAATCGCAGTGGCGCCACCCAGACTCTGAGCTCACAGTGCTGTTGTGTGTTGTTCATCGATTTTGTGCTCCTGACACGCCCACCACCCCCGCACAACCCAAAACCACCCAACTTAACAGCCCACAGAGCCCAGAATCGACTACCCCTTTTTTGTCTGTTGTGGGTGGGCTGTTGTCGCCTAATTCCGGTACAATTCTCACATCGTTTTCGGGGCGTGTCCCGAAACCCAACCCCCACGTACTGGCCGAAGTCGAAGTCGGGTCAGGCCAAACCGCAGACACCACTGAAGTGGGTCAAGTGTGTAACAATAATCGTTTATATGGTTAATGACTATATATTCAATGATTGACTAGCTACAATTCAATTTCCGCTCTTCCGTTTTCTAGGTGCTGGTGGAGAAGTTGCTGCGCTCATGTCCGGACATAAGGAATATATATCTACTGATACGACCGAAACGCGGTCAAGAAGTGTCGGCACGTCTCACGGAACTACTAAATGCACCGGTAAGTAGTATACCATATTTTATAAAAGAGTTTGCCTCACTAATTGATTAAAATGTACTTTTAGCTTTTCGAATCACTGCGTCAGGAGAAGCCCAAGGAGCTCAGCAAAGTCATACCCATTTCGGGCGACATAACTTCCGAGGAATTGGGCATTTCAGAAAAAGATCAGGTGCGTTTTAATCTAGCCTTAGTTCTTAATGAAAGTTTATATTTTGATTGCGATTTTGCCCTTTTAGAACCTACTGTGTCGCAATGTTTCCGTTGTCTTTCATTCGGCTGCCACTGTGAAATTCGACGAGAAGCTCAAACTGTCTGTCACAATCAATATGCTGGGCACGAAACGTCTCGTCGAGCTCTGCCATCGCATGCTGTCACTGGACGTAAGTGTTTTGCGCTATGGAAATCGGAGATCCGACTTGATTTTTTAACCACTGAACGCTTTGACAGGCACTTATCCATGTATCCACTGCCTATTGCAATTGCGATAGAACCGATGTGTCTGAGGTTATCTACGCACCGCCCTACAATCCCGACGATATCATTTCACTAATCAACTGGCTTCCGGAGGATATACTCGATCAGGTGGGCATTTAAATTTATGGTATCTATTGGGTTAGTTAATTAATTTGAATTAATATTTTAGCTGACACCGCGCCTGATTGGCAAGCGTCCTAATACGTACACATTTACAAAAGCCTTAGCGGAGCATATGTTACTTAAGGAGGCTGGTAATCTGCCCGTTGCCATTGTGAGGCCATCGATTGGTGAGTTGGCTTTATCATAAGAAAAAAAAACCCAATCAGACAATCCATAGGATTTATGTAGTAAGCTAAAGAAAAAATTAAAGATTTTGTTTTGAAATCAAGGGGTCAATTATATGAAAATAATCTTAAGATGGGATACCAAATCGGACAAATATCCGTAGAACTTAATAAATTAATCAGAAGTAAGCTAAGAATGGGAAGATCTATAAATAATTGGTGGAACAAAAACTATATGCCTATACCATAGACGACAATTTATTTTTATTAATTTTGAAAAATATTTGTAACTTTTTAGTGACCGCCAGTCTGAATGAGCCTTTTGCCGGATGGGTGGACAACTTTAATGGGCCAACGGGCCTGGTTTCGGCGCTGGCCAAGGGCATGTTCCGCACGATGATGTGCGAGAAGAACTATGTGGCCGATATGGTACCTGTCGATATTGTGATTAACCTGATGATTGCCGCCGCCTGGCGCACAGCGACCCGCAAGTCCAACAACCTACTCATCTACAATTGTTGCACCGGCCAGCGTAATCCCATCATCTGGTCGGAGTTTGTCAAACACGCCATGACGAGTGTGCGCAAGCATCCCCTGGGTGAGAAGGAGCAGCGCCTAATGTGACCATTACCATATAATTAATACCCGGCAATTATTGTATTTTCCCAGAGGGCTGCCTGTGGTATCCGACTGGCGACCTGCGCATGAACCGCCCCATGAACACGCTGAACTGTATAGCCAAACACTTTCTACCGGCCTACATTCTGGACGGAGTGGCAAGAATCATGGGCAAGAAACCATTGTGAGTAGGCCGCTCCCCCAGAGCGTTCCACTTAATGCCCCCTTGTATGTTTGTGTATCTTTTATAGCGTTGTCAACGTACAAAACAAAATTGCCAAAGCTGTGGAATGCCTGGAGTACTTCGCCACACGCCAATGGCGCTTCAAGGACGACAACGTCCACGCCCTGCTGAACACATTGAGTCCCAAGGATCGCGAGATCTTCGTGTTCGACGTGCGCCACATCAACTGGGACAAGTACGTGGAGCGCTATGTCCTGGGATTCAGGGAGTTCCTCTTCAAGCAGCGCCCCGAATCGCTGCCGGCCAGCAGAAAGCGCATGCTCAGGTGAGAAATATAAACAGTACAGCCAGGAAAATACAATACTATGTAGCAAAAGAGTATCTTAAACATACGTTCATACTTGATTTAAATTAACTCTTAAATTAATTAAGCTTTTTAATTTAACTGAACTAAAAATAGAGAAATACAGCATAGTAAAATTAAATGATTAATTTTTGATTCTATAATAGTATAGCAGAGCCCGATTAAAAAATATGGTTTTAAAATATGAAAATTATAGATTTCCTTGTTAATCTCTAAAACTTGTCTTCTGCTCCCCAGGCTCTACTATCTGCATCAGCTGACCAAACTGGTGGCGGTGCTGCTCACCTGGCGCTTCCTGATGTCGCGCTCCAAGCGCTTGAACGACTTGTGGAGCTCCTTTCTGGAGAACGCGCTGAAGATTGCGCGCTTGATACCCTTTTTGTAATTGTAATTGTAATTAAGTGCCGAGGGCGATGTCCTTGGGATGTGGAAGCTTGGAGACAGCAACTGCGGACATATGTATATGCGCTGGGATGATCTGGCAGGATCTGCGATGTTCTTCTTTTCTTTGCGATTTCTAAATGCTTTAACATGGCGTACATTTTAGAGGTTTTTAGCAAATAGTTATATTCATATTTTTTATATATGTTACAAATGAGTAAACAACCAGCAGACGCCACAACAGCAACAGCAACAACAACAACACATCCAAATAACCACGAGAAAAGGAGCATCAGCTAACTAACAGATTAAAACATTGACATTAAAGCATGGGGTAATTAAATGGCATCATCACATTTATTCAGGTGCAATGCAAATATAGGTCAGGTGTGAGAGGTGTCGGTTGTTGTCTCCAATTATCTCTCTCCTTCTGCGAGATTGTACAATTTTGTGAAATAATTTAAACGCGCAAGGAGAAACCCAAAGTAGAAGTGAATACCACCTTTTTGCATAAAGAGATAGTAGGGGATCGAAGGAATTAATGGGCGGATTCATCGACAATGTGAAGCAACTTGCATGAATTAATACATCCAAAACTATATAAAAAAGGAAATTTCGAAAAGACAAACAAAAGCGATTAATTCAGCAATGATTGGAGAAGAGAGGATAAATGAAATTAAAAGAAATGGCTTGTTATTGCTTTAAAAATTACATAAAAGTAACGTGAACTATGCTAATTAATTAATATTAATTATAAATATTATTACGTAATGAGCGAACATTGCATATAAATAATACGACAACAAAAACCAACATTATTTATAATTGAATGTAGTTTTAACATTTTTACATTTACAATTAAGTTTTCAATTTATATAAAAACAAAGCAGAAGGATCGGAATTATATACGACAGGAGACAAAATTCAGATATACAAAATTCAATTTATGTATATGTATATGAGAAAAAGCGAAAATACAAGCAAGAAAACTACAAAAAAATCATAATGATAATAAATTAATGAAAACAAAAATTATATTTATATATAAACATCAGAAACATAATTTCTTAGCATTTGCAGCCTAAAACCTAAATCTAAGCGTAGCCAGAAAAAGAGTTTCCAAAAAATACAACAAACAAACTATGAATGAAGTTTTTTGAGACAAACGCAATTAGAGAAACATGATTATGAAATTTATATTTAAATGCGATAAATTAAACACAAAAAGCCGATACACACAAAGACACACACACAAATACACACAGAAACCAAGACACATATAGTAAGAACATTCCATCCAGTCAGTAGGAAATCGGGTCATTAACCAATTCTTCCTCCACTTTGGACTTTTGCTTCCCGTCTCGTTTAATCGATATGGGCCAGGTAATATTGGCCGGGTAACGGTTGCGGCCAGGATATAGTTCGTTCTCGGGTTCGTTTTCGTGCAATTATTAAATATCTTATGTTATGCCTAGAATTTATTATGTTTTATTTCTAAATCGATTTGTAAATTGCAGTGCATCAATAAAATACACTTCCAAAATAATAATACAAATATACCACAACGCGTTCTTATTTTGTTTTTTCCTAAATAAAAACGTTTAATTAGCTTCTAGAAAAATACAAAAACTATCCAATTAAAATAGTTCGTGAGAGGGGCGAGAAAACTAAAACTTAACAAACAAATTGTAAGCTATACAAAGTCTTAGTTCTTATTGGCCATGGCAAGAAATTGACTTTAGTAATGAGATGAATGAAAATAAATTGAAACAAAAAAAAACAGGAAAGTAATCCAATCTAAAAAAGAACTCAATAAAAGAAAATTACAAGGAATTGTTTATTGTTTTAATGGCAGAATGGAAGAAACGGATGTCCCGAATAAAACACACACTTCATCTTGGTTTTGTACACATGAATTTTCACTTTTATTATTTTTCTCAGTTTCTCAGATTTTTGTCATTTCGCATTTCCAGCGCTTACACGCTACCAACTTTAAAATTGTTTTCCACTCCATAGCGCCAAATATATATGCCATTAAGATATATTTATAATTCTTCGGTTTTGCGTCGTGAGATGTGCTTATGCTTAGATAATTCAAAACTCGTCCTTCCTCTAGGAAAAGTATAGAAAATGTGGAAATCCGAAGTTGAGAGTGGGGGTGAGCGGAGTGTGAGAGGGAGGGGAAGTACGAGCAGGGGTGTGTGTCAATTATACGTTTCTTAGCTGGTATTTCTCTATAGCTTAGATCGAATCGAAAATTATACTATGTGAGTGGAATTCCCAAGTTCCGGTTCGCGATCTTCGCCCGCCATTATATTTTTCAGCAAGTTATGTTCGTTTTACTTTCGAGTGTGGTAGCTTCTCTAAATGGACTTTTTGCTGCTGTTCGGCTTGCTTATGCTGTATTTTATATTACTTGCCACCATCATCCATCAATCAATCGATACAGCTTACAAAATGTGGTTCTAGTCTTTGCGTTTCTGTTTCTTGTTTATTATTTTTTGTTTTTTGTTTTTCGTTTTGTTTTGCCTTTACTTTTTAAATGTAACAAAATAATTTACGATTTTAAATGAAAACCATTAAATTTGTTTTTATTTTATTAATATTTTATAGCTAGAGCTAAGTTTAAGCCTGTTCGCATGCACTAAACTTGCGTTCAATTTTTTTGTCATTTAGTTTTTCTCTTTTTTTTTGCGGGGTTTTTCGTAGTATATAAAAATACCATTTATTGTGTGATCTTTATACTTATCTCGTTTCTTATATATGTTTTTAAATATATATAATTTATGTTTTCTTCTAAACTTCGTTGCGAATTGTTATTGTTGAGAAATGAAGTGTATGCAAAGCTACTGATATTCCAATTAAAATCGTCTATGCCGTCAAAAATGATTTATCTCACCGGGAGTAAATGCCTTGACCTGGTTCTAAGCTTCAAAAAACATCCAGTTTCCAATCAGCAAGCCAAGTGGCAAAAAATTCAACTAGTTTATTAGTTTTAAATACCCATCGAATGATATTCAATTCATATTCAAACATTATCATTAATTTAAATGAATTTAGTAAAAACATCCTAAATTGTTGCCGAACTACGGAAACGTAACGAAGCGATCTGAATCGAATATAGAATCCTTTTCCGAATCCAAGACCCCAAAATCTCAAACTGAACCAGTGCCAACAATAAATCAACAACGATCTGCGGATATATGCATCTTTAACTCTTCTCTTTCAGGTTGTGGGCTTAGGTACACAAGGTAATGTCGTCAGGGTACAAAAATGTGTGGGAATCCTGTTCGCAGGTGTCTGTTTATTTATACATATGCATGTATTCGGATAGGATCTCGTGGAGATGCGTGTTTAATGCATTTGGGTAAGTTTATTTCGCTTACTTAAGATGCTTCGGCACAACCATTATAGATACACGTACAACAACAAAAAAATACTGTCAAGTTAACGACTCGATTAAGTGTTAAGACTAAGTGTAAGCCATGGATGCTGAGATTTATACTTATTGAGCATTCTTTTAGATCATACATTGTTCGATTTTTGTCTATTTATATTTTTGTCTCAATTGGTTTTTTATTTTATTTTGTACATTTTTTGTTTGGGTTCCGGTGTTTCGTGTGACAAGTCGCATGTAAAGTATAATGTATGGTGTATTTTCAGCCGTCCTCACATTTAAATTTATCGGAGAATGTTAAACATAATTTTATCATAACAAAATTATTTAAGAAAATAAAATCGAATGAAACAATCTACAGAGTTGTTTAAAAATTACTTTGAAAATGTAAAACAATAATTATTTGAGATACAAATCATACGTAATTTCACTTTTAAATATAAAAATGGAAATCGAGAGCTCGACTGAAAATGCGGGTAAGAACTATATAATTAATAATGTAATTTACATGATTTTTGGTTTCCGCGTGTTCAGCATTTTAATTTTACGGTTCGCTTAGTCGCACATACATTTTGAATATATAAGTTGATTATACATATGTTTATATACGAGAATATGTTTGCGTGTATATAGATGTATGCGCATATAACCGTAGACTTGTACATAAAGCAAAACAGACATAACATTATCCTTCCTATATATGTATGTTTCGGTATCATTATCTAAGTATATATATATTTTTTTGTTTTATTCGATTTGTTGTTTTAAACACACACTCAATTTTCTTACATCTAATTATACCTCAATATATAGTAAATCAAATTTGGCTCTTGGGAGCCCCGTTCTTGTATAATTTATATATTTTCTGCTCGGTTAAATATTATGTTTTCGTCTCACTTGTATATCGTTAATATATCTTTATAAAAATTATATAATTTAAAGCTTGTTCGTTACGTTCCAACTAAATGTACAAAATTTCGAATTCCAATCCAACACCTAAAAAAAAAGAGCATTAATGTTTATGAACAAATACAGGGCTGTGCTGAAACAATATTTTACAACATTTTCAGCAACTCAAATCGAGCTGAAAGTCGTTGCGTCATCTTGGTTTCGTTAATGCTAATTTTTGTTTTTCAAACATACAACTGAATTTTCATAAAAATCACCCTGTAAATTGTAGTTTTTCTGCTATCGCTTTACATGCTACTGTTTTTTTGTTTTTCATTTTGTTTTTCATTTGCCTTAAGACTATTCAAATACATTTAATATACGTAATTCGCTACGACGGAAGCTTGTTATTTACACTCTATTTTATTTTTCTCGGAGTAAACTATATAAGAATTGAGAATCCTAAATTAAAATATATCCTATTTTAAAAACATATGTGGCATATCTGTCTGACTACATTTGTGGTATTGTTGCGAACTTTAAACGAGCTGTTTTTGAGACTTTGAACTACTTTGAGTTGACAACTTGGTTCCCGGTTCTGGACTGCGTATTAAAAATAAGCTAACGTTTCGCTCTTTTCTTTTTTTTTTACTTTAGGAATATTGTTTGGCATTTCAGTCATCAGCTTAAAACGTTAACTAAAGTTAGGAAACTAAAGGGATTCACAAAAAAAAAAACATAATTTAAATTAATTGAGGGTAATTGTTAAACTAAGATACAATTAGTATATACAACCTCTTGTACAATTTTGGTTTTTTTCTTTCGCAAAACTAATATCTGGTAAAAAACTAAACTATTTATTTCAACTAAATTTATGTATTACTTTCACTTTTTTTTGTTTTATCCGACTTTGGTTTTTTGTTTTTGTTTTACGCAATACAAATTTAAGATTAAATTACAATACAATTTTTTTTGTGAAGTTCTCACTCGGTTTTCGCTATCCCAATTTTTGGTTTTTCTCTCATTGTACATCGAGAATTCATATACTTAATGCGCTGGTGAGGCGCAAGCAAATTGTGATTGCCCCTAAACAAGACGAACTCATATGGGCGACTCAGAGTTTACAGATCAGTGGTTACAAATTCAAAAGTTCAGATTTGCATAAAGATTTTAGAAATCTTTACAAATCTGCCAGAAATCCAATGACTTAGCTTTTCTTTTGAAAGTGTTGTGTACTGACTTTGGCATCCCTTTGTTCCTTGGTGGCTCTTAGCAACTGATTTCGGAATGATTGTTGTTGTCCTTGTAGCGTTCCGTATATCCCTGAATGGTGAACGGTGAGTCGGCACCACCTGCTGATCCCGTGGAGACATCTCCATTCAACACTGCTCCATTGCTAACCACCCCGTTGATGACCTTGCCTTCCGCCCCTTCGTTTTGTTTCACCTGCACATTGGCATACGACTGCTTAGCACTGCCGTTGGGCAAACTCTTCCCGAGAGCCGAGGGATCCAGCGTAATCCCGTCCAGCTGCGAGGCGAAGGACAGAGGCGGCTGGATGGTAGTGGGTGTGGGCTGCGGCGTGTCCAGGCTGATCAGCTTGGCCTCCTCGCCACTGGCCAGTGGCGCATCTGGCGGCTCCACCCTTCCACCTTTCGCATTGGGTAGTATAAAGGACGTCTCCCAGCAATCTCCGTTTGCCAAAGTGGGGGCCATGCTCTCCACTGGCCGCGGATGTGGTGCAGCCGGGGATGTGACCGCCGGCGGAGTGCAGGAGCTCATCTGTTGGCGCTGCGATTCTGGAACATAGCCCGAACTGCTGGCCACAGAGGGATTGCCACCACTGCTACCACCACCTGGTGGCAGCGGAACCAGATAATCGGGCACCGCCAGGCAGAACTCCTCGCCATTGGGCGGCCGGATGACTGTATCGTCCCGCTCGGAGGCCGTCGGTCCCAATATATTCGGCAGCGGGGCATTCATTATGCTCGCATCCTGCGTGCAGGCCGTCAAATGCTCCAGCAAACTGATGAAGGTGGGCCGATCCTCGGGCGTGGGATTCCAGCAGTCGGCCATGACCTTGTAGATGGAGACGGGGCACTCGGTGGGTGAGCCCAGTCGACCGCCACGCACCACCAGCTCCATCACCTGGGTGTTATGCTGACCCGGATATGGCGAACGGCCCAAGCTGAAGACCTCCCACAGCAGAATGCCAAAGGACCACACGTCCGTCTTGGAGGTGAATATGCCATCGAGGAAGGCCTCCGGTGGC